TTTATTGAAGCCTATAAAATAATAGAAATTAATAAAAAATTGACTACTCAAAAAGCAGTTATATTAATTAAAGAAAATAATTCCTTTTACTATATTTCATATAACTGGTGAATAGTAGTTGGATTTACTACTCTTCAAATTTTGAGTTGACTACAATTCCACTTGTTTTTACTACCTTAAGAAAGTTAATTTTACTACCGACTTGTAGTTGTACTTTAACTACATATTTACGTAAAATCTACTATTACTTATTAACTTCTTAAAAATAGTTACATTAACTACATCAACATGATTAGATTAACTAAAAAAGTAGTTATTTTAACTACTTTCTAGTCAACTACCCAATGGTAGTTAAATTTCTCGGCAACATTTTTTTCAGTGTAGTGAAATCGTGAAATGATACTTTTTACATGTGTATTCACTGTAAATGCAATTAATAACCTAGTTTAATTCAATTATTTTTTAAATAATTTTATTTTATCTAAATTATCTAAAATTAATCTTTTATTATCTTATCTATTACTTTATTTTATGTAAGTCATCTTACTTTTTCTTATTTCATAATTTAAATAAAGCATATTATAAAAGATGTGTCTTTTTCTTCAATTTTCAACGGTGAAGCTGTTGAACTCCCCACTGTTTTTGAAAAGTCATAAAACCAATATTTTCGAAAAACAAGCAAAATTTATATTCCCATTTTGAATTTTAATTAATCCATCATGCTAAAAGTTGTGTTTTTACGTGTACTAAAAGTTATATATAATAGAATAATAAAAAAAATTTATATAATAGTTTTGATCGAAAAACAAAACCTGGAGCACAACTCCTCACTCTCCCCAATATAAATTTTTATACCAAATAAGTTCGCTTCGTAAACGTATCCGTCGATTTCAGTGCACTTTTTAGATTTTATTCCGTCGGTACACCGTGAATGGGTACGGAACCCTAAAAAATTTTCCATGCTTTCAATTTGACATTAAAAATAATTACACTACCGTCCGAAATTGTGCGAACTCTGCTTTTTCAACAACTATAAAACTGTTCAAATCTTCAAAAATATTAAAACTAAAATTTTTTCCTCTTTATTTTATTAAAGTTAATAAAATTCTAAAAAAAATGACACCTTGACAAAGAGAATATGTTAATTTTTTATTTAGATATCTAAGAAAAACCCAATTTTCAATGTTTTTACTATTTTTTTTATTTCTCTGGCAAAAATTAATATTTTTAAACGTTCTTAGGCTCATTGAAATCGTATTTTGTTATGCAATTCAAATTATGTAAAACAATTCATGTACACATTCTTCCCTAGTGTATGCAAACCGTGAAAGTTGGCTCATAAAATGTCAAAAAATTTAAATTTAATTCTACAATAAAATATAATGTTTAAAAATCAAGTAAATATATCATTCTAAACTTCTCTGATTTATGTAAGAAAAATTTAAAATTTATACATTTTACTGATCATTTTTTGTCATATAAATATTAATCACAATTTTTTGACATTTTATGAGCCAACTTTCACGGTTTGCATACGCTAGGGAAGAATGTGTACATGAATTGTTTTATATAATTTGAATTGCATAACAAAATACGATTTCAATGAGCCTAAGAACGTTACAAAATATTAATTTTTGGCAGAGAAATAAAAAAAATAGTAAAAACATTGAAAATTGGGTTTTTCTTAGATATCTAAATGAAAAATTAACATATTCTCTTTGTCAAGGTGTCATTTTTTTCAGAATTTTATTAACTTTAATAAAATAAAGAGGAAAAAATTTTAGTTTTAATATTTTTGAAGATTTGAACAGTTTTATAGTTGTTGAAAAAGCAGAGTTCGCACAATTTCGGACGGTAGTGTAAGTGTAAAAAAATATCCTGAAAAAATCGTTTTAAAACAAAAAAATGTGTTTAGTTGGGGACTCATAGACACCACGGTGTGCTCAGAGGGTTAAAAAGCACAGAGTTGCTGAATGTAGCGCCAACTGCGGTTTATTTCTAAAATAGAATTTAACAATAATATTTTACTTAAGGGTATGTGGGCAAAGGACGTTTTTTTGTGATTTGAAACTTTCTCTGAAATAGAAAATGATTTCAGGTTAAAATTTTGGAGAAATGATTTTGTTCGGTACAAGGAATCTCGCTGTTCTACTCATTTACCATAACTTAACGCAAAAATAATAAAAATGAAGCAATAAATAGTAAAATAATGTATTATATCATAGTTCATTCAGCGGCCAAAAGCTCGAATTGGCGCTGTTTACTGGAGCACTGACACACTCAAGCAACGTCTGTGTATGCGCCGCCATCTTTGTTTTCATTTTCGTTTAAAAATGACACTTTTTAAACTTCATTTTTTAATAATTTTACTCAAAATTATGTATTTTTCGGAGAACAACAAGATTCTTTGTACCCTAATCTATCATCCCTCAAAATTTTAGACAAAAATCTTTTCTGATTTTAGAAGGAAACGTATACTACCAAAACACATTTTCCCATACTAGGTCACGTGGGAGGTTCCCACATACTCTTAATCTAAAACTCAACAAAGATTCTTCTAGAAATCAGTTTTAAATGTATAACATGTTTCCATTTAAATAAATTTCTATATTTTTGATACAATTTCTTGTACTTCTTTCACTGTAAATCTTTTATCACAACTGTTATAGGAATTTTGGAAAAAGAACGACATTACTATTTTTTAGTAACGTCGAACAGTAAAGGCATTACTGTCGAAAAAGTAACGGTAACAAATTCCATTATATAAAAAGTAATGGTAACGCGTTACTATTTTTAGTAACGGGGCGAACACTGTTCCACAAATAAAAATGATAAGAAAATTTAATTCTGCACACATTAAACAATAAAGCTGCAAGTTGGACTGTCTCCACAAGTGCACATCAAATATATAGAGATTTCAATATATACAATGGATGTAAACAAAATTAAAAGAAAAAATTAGAAAAAAAATTTTTAAAAGAAAAAATTTTTTTAATAAAAAAAAAAAAAAATTTAAAAAAAAAAAAAAAAATTTGTATATAGAGAAATTTTTTTTTTTTTTTTTTTTTTTTTTTTTTTTAAATTTTATTAATAAGAAAAAAAATTTTATATAGAGGGCAAAAAAATTTTTTATTTTTTTAAAAATTTTTTTTGTGTAAAAGTTGGACTGTCTCTTAAAAATGTGTATTTTCATTAAAAAAAAATTGAGATGTCTTTTTTTGTTATTTTCGAGGTATTAATTAATTAATTAATGTTAATGAAAAATGATATATTTTATCAACAAATAAAGTTATCGTAATTCTGACGTTACTGTATGAAGTATTTTGGATTAGTTGATTGTTAATAAACAATTGGCTAACATTGCAATTGTTTATAAAAAATCCTCTAATCCAAAATAGTTCATATAGGGCTCTTTGTATGCGGAATTACCTCAGCTTTCATTTAGTAACGTCAGAATTACTTTATTTGTTTATAAAATATATCATTTTTTAATAACATTAATAATTAATTAAGTAACTAAAAATTGTAAATATTATTCAAGTAGATGAAAAAATTTTAACACAATCTTTAAGTTCTTAGCTTTAATTTGATTTTTTGAAAACTTAAAAAATGTTTTGTAGTTCCTGAAATATGATAAAAAATGTTCGAGCATGTTTTTCTACAACCTAGCAGCGAGGCGGAAAAAAGTGATAATCGACGGCTGATTTGTAGAAAAACATGCTCGGACCTTTTTTAACATATTTCAGGAACCACAAAACATTTTTTAAGTTTCAAAAATGCAAATTAAAGCTGAGATCTTAAAGATTATGTTGTAAAATTGTAAAATTTTTCTATACATTATTCTAGATTATGCCGGAAGTCAAAAACATTAGTACGACAGTACGAAAATTGCATAATTTTTGCTTGAAATCTTTTCGGTGTTATAAATACAAAAAAAAAATAAAAAATTTTCTTGACATACATTCAGAAGCAGAATTTTATCATCTTCTAACCATCTAAGTTAGAAGTCTATAACTTTTTTCTAACTTGAAATATCTTGCTTTAAAGTCAGCGCCGAATTTCGACTCCTCGATTGCAATAACTTTATTTATTTGCAAAATATTTTATTTTTTATTAACATTAATTAATTAATTAATATCTCGAAAATAACAAAAATGGACACTCAATATTTTTTGTGGTGAAAATATACATTTTTAAAAATCAAAAAAATAAATAAAAAAAAATCCTGCTAATTTGAAAAACATGGTTTAAAGAAAAACGCGTTTAAAGTTTTCGGTTATTCTGGTATACGTACTTGATGCGGTCTGCTTATAACAATATTCAACTATATTTGCAGTTATAATTTGTTAAAACAATTACAGGAGAGCAATGGGGTTTCAAGAAAATATAAAAAAGAGTTATGAAATAGTTGTTTCTTTTTAATTTTTTTGCAAACTTATTGTTTTCCAGCTTCGCTTTTTTATATTTCTGTTGGAAAAGATCTAATTTTTCTAATAAAAATAGAGAAAAAATTACCCAAAACCGTTAAAATTTAAGTATAATAGTTAACTTTAAAAAAAATGTTTAAAAATTTTTTATCTAAAATACTTTTTATGGCATTAAAAAGTACATGAAAAATCCTCCCAAAGGCAGTATTTGAAAATTAAAATCCACAAGTCCACACTTCTTTTGTAACTTAACCAATATTGGTTATTAATTTTCAGTTTTATCATTACAAATATTTTGTGGACTTAAACATTACTTTAATAAGCTTCAGATAATTTATTTAATGATTTAAAATTTCATTATTATAATTCATTTCATTATACAAACAATTTATAATAAACGTTTAGAAAAGCTGAAATACTTTTAATAAAAATGCGCATTCATAAAATATTTTGTTCAATAAAATATTTGAGGAATAACTGGTTTTATCCGAACTGATGTAACAGGTATAGTGGTAAGTTGACCGACTTTTAAAAAGCATGCCTGTAGAGTAGAGATGACGGAACATCCAGTTGGACATTGACCTTGGTAACATTAAGGCGATAGATAGTAGCATACATTATATGTATCAGGTACAAAATTATAAGTTACATTTTAAAAAATTATAAACAGAAAAATCACTCTCACAGTTTTCATTACCTTAGTACATTGGTAAGAAAAAAATGGTTATTAATGTTAATATAACGAAAATTTGTATCTAGATAAATATTTATTATTATTAAGGCAACTATAACTTTAACGGAAAAAATAACGGAATGGGATTAAACTTCTGTTAATATTAGGTTTAAAGAAAAATATCTCAATTAATCGACATAAAACAGGAAAGAAAATTTTTTGGAGTAATGGAGAGATATTTCATTAGTGAATTTGTGAAATAGTGATTTAATTGAAATAAATAAATTGTACCGTGACGCACTCGAAAATCATATCAAACTTTTATAAAGTTACACTTAATAGAGTAAAATAGTAAAAAATAAAGTGGTGTAATGTTTTAATAAAACTCTTAAACAAATTTTTGAAAATTACAAAATGAAAATTTTTGAAAATTAACTTTAAATTTTTATTCATCAATCCCAAAAACCCTTGACTAACAAGTTCCAAGAGAATTTGATCGATTTTTAAAAGTTCGACAACCATACCCCAGCAAACAATTGCATAAGGTATTACAAATTTTTTAAAGCAAGTAACATCATATATAACACATATAGATCTGTTACAAAAAATATAAATTTACCTTAAATTATTATAATAAGATTAGAGTGCGTTATATTTTATTTCTATTTGACGTCAATTATACCTATTAATCAAATAAAGAAAGGTATTTATAACTGATTTTTGGAATTCTTTAGACGGGTGAACTCTGAGAGTCGAACCCCCGACCATCATATCTCTCAACCGCACTGGGAGCGCCTAAACACGATCGACCAGGGGAAACTACGAAAATTTTTGAAAAAATGTCTCTTTTTATAATTAACACATTAAACAGATAGTTATATTATTTTGTAAAGTCATCGAAAATTTCTAAAAGTTAATTATTATAAAGAGTATTATCGTATACTCTTATAAATATTAAAGATATCAATTAATAATAATTTTGCCAATTTAAATAGTTTTAATGATTAATTGTGTTAACCTCTTTAGTGTCACGCTAAAAAATGAAAAAACTAACCACAGAATTAAAGATTCATAAAATAGGTCATATTTGCTTAAAATTTGTTACTCGGGGGTTTACGGGGTCACTGATCAGGAATCCGATGTCTGTCTTTGAAAACTTTAAAAATTCAAAATGTCAGACAATTTTTCAAAAAATGATCGGATTTACTTGAAATTTGTTACATGGAGGTTTTTAGGATCACTAATAACAAATCCGATGTAAGTTTTTTAAAATTCAAAATGGCGGATTCAAGGTGGCGGACAATTAAAAAAAATGGTCGGATTCGTTAGAAAATCGTTACTTGCAAGTTTACGGGGTCGCTGATTACGAATTTAACCTAAGTAACAAGTTTCAAGCGAATTCAATCAATTTTGGAAAAAGTCGTTCGTTATATTAAATACGCCAATTTTAATTTTTAAAAACTGACATCGGGTTCATAATAAGCGACCCCCGTAAACCCCCAGTAATAAGTTTAAATCGAATTGCATAAGATTTTCAAAAACTCATCTGCTATTTTCAATTTTGAAAATCTATCACCGGATTTGTAATCAGTGACCCCGAAAACCCCGACTAACTAATTTCAAGGGATTCTATAAAGCAGAAATATGATTTTTCACAAGTCGTCACGCGACACTCCTGGTCAATTTTATAAATGACGCCTGTAGGCGTCATTGACACTCAAGGACTTCATGAAAACAAATTACAAAATTTTTCCATCTGGGTGTGGATTATGTAATTTGATTTGATTCTGACATCAAATTCAAATTTATTTTGACGTCAAAGTCAAAAATTCGAGAAATTCATTTTTTGATTTGATTTTGACGTGAAAGTCAATTTTAATTTGAGACATTCATTTATTCATTTAATTTTGACGTCAAATTCAAATTCATTTTTTAAATTGATTTCGACGTCGAAATAAATTTGAATTTGACGTCAAAATTAAATGAACAAAAGATTGTCTCGAATTAAAATTGACTTTAACGTCAGAATCAAATCAAATTACATAATCGACACCCTGTACAACACAAAAATGGTATATAAATTTTAAATTTTGGAGTTTGTTCTACCGTTTGAAAATGGCTTAGATGGTTTGAATAAATGATTGACTTTACACCAGGACATCACGTTTCTAAGAGCGCTATGTTTGTGCCTGAGGGATAAAAATGTAATTTATATTATGAAATTAATTAATTTTAACTTAAATTTTTTCCAAGAATTTTTACATTCTCATCACATGAGAAGGTATTATAATTGGTCGAAAATTGACTTTTACTATTTCCATGAAATCTTTACGTTTTGAGGTGCCCTGAGTCAAAAAAACATGGTCCGGCGAAAGTGTCTGCCTGTGTGTCTGTATGTATGTATGTATGTATGTATGTACGTATGTAGACACAAAATGTTGTTGACACAATAACTGTTGTAAATCGAAACAAATCGTTTTGCAATTTTGCATACACAAAGTTATTATCAAAATACAGGTTAAGTTCGTTAGCCAGCCATTTTCATCAAAAAATGCAAAAACTGCGGGATTTTCAAAATTTTGAAATTTAATTTTTTAAAAAAAAAATTTTTTTTCTCTACACAGCATTACAGTCCAGGAAGAAGAAAACATTTTTTTTAAATAAAATTTTTTGATTAAATTAAAATTGTAAAAGTTACAGTGGTTTCATTGTCGAAAAACACATAAAAAACGCCAAAAAAGACATTTTTAATGAAAAATTTAATTTTATTAATGGGGTGAAAAAAATCAGTCCATAAAATAGACACATTCTCATCATAATAGACTCAGAAAATATGATACAAGTGAAAAAAATATCAATTTAGAAAAAAACCACTCTATATACATATTATTTATATTTTTTTACACAAAAATCAGAATTTCTCACTCAATTATCTTGTAATGTATTCATCTTGGCATAATGACCCCAGAGACTTTTTTCTTCAAAATTTTATCAGCTACAACTTTCCCATTAAACATTATTCTCTATCTCTTTACGTTTTTAAGATTTTAATGAAAAAAGCATTTATTTTTACATTCTCATCACATGAGAAGGTATTATAATTGGTCGAAAATTGACTTTTACTATTTCCATGAAATCTTTACGTTTTGAGGTACCCTGTGTCGAAAAAACATGGTCCGGCGAAAGTGTCTGTCTGTGTGTCTGTATGTATGTATGTATGTATGTATGTATGTATGTATGTATGTATGTATGTATGTATGTATGTACGTATGTGGACACAAAATGTTGTTGACACAATAACTTTTGTAAATCGAAACAAATCGTTTTGCAATTTTGCATACACAAAGTTATTATCAAAATACAGGTTAAGTTCGTTAGCCAGCCATTTTCATCAAAAAATGCAAAAACTGCGGGATTTTCAAAATTTTGAAATTTAATTTTTTAAAAAAAAAATTTTTTTTCTCTACACAGCATTACAGTCCAGGAAAAAGAAAACATTTTTTTTAAATAAAATTTTTTGAATAAATTAAAATTGTAAAAGTTACAGTGGTTTCATTGTCGAAAAACACCTAAAAAACGCCAAAAAAGACATTTTTAATGAAAAATTTAATTTTATTAATGGGGTGAAAAAAATCAGTCCATAAAATAGACACATTCTCATCATAATAGACTCAGAAAATATGATACAAGTGAAAAAAATATCAATTTAGAAAAAAACCACTCTATATACATATTATTTATATTTTTTTACACAAAAATCAGAATTTCTCACTCAATTATCTTGTAATGTTTTCATCTTGGCATAATGACCCCAGAGACTTTTTTCTTCAAAATTTTATCAGCTACAACTTTCTCATTAAACATTATTCTCTATCTCTTTACGTTTTTAAGATTTTAATGAAAAAAGCATTTATTTTTACATTCTCATCACATGAGAAGGTATTATAATTGGTCGAAAATTGACTTTTACTATTTCCATGAAATCTTTACGTTTTGAGGTGCCCTATGTCGAAAAAACATGGTCCGGCGAAAGTGTCTGTCTGTGTGTCTGTATGTATGTATGTATGTATGTATGTATGTACGTATGTGGACACAAAATGTTGTTGACACAATAACTTTTGTAAATCGAAACAAATCGTTTTGCAATTTTGCATACACAAAGTTATTATCAAAATACAGGTTAAGTTCGTTAGCCAGCCATTTTCATCAAAAAATGCAAAAACTGAGGGATTTTCAAAATTTTGAAATTTAATTTTTTAAAAAAAAAATTTTTTTTCTCTACACAGCATTACAGTCCAGGAAGAAGAAAACATTTTTTTTAAATAAAATTTTTTGATTAAATTAAAATTGTAAAAGTTACAGTGGTTTCATTGTCGAAAAACACCTAAAAAACGCCAAAAAAGACATTTTTAATGAAAAATTTAATTTTATTAATGGGGTGAAAAAAATCAGTCCATAAAATAGACACATTCTCATCATAATAGACTCAGAAAATATGATACAAGTGAAAAAAATATCAATTTAGAAAAAAACCACTCTATATACATATTATTTATATTTTTTTACACAAAAATCAGAATTTCTCACTCAATTATCTTGTAATGTTTTCATCTTGGCATAATGAACCCAGAGACTTTTTTCTTCAAAATTTTATCAGCTACAACTTTCCCATTAAACATTATTCTCTATCTCTTTACGTTTTTAAGATTTTAATGAAAAAAGCATTTATTTTTACATTCTCATCACATGAGAAGGTATTATAATTGGTCGAAAATTGACTTTTACTATTTCCATGAAATCTTTACGTTTTGAGGTGCCCTGTGTCGAAAAAACATGGTCCGGCGAAAGTGTCTGTCTGTGTGTCTGTATGTATGTATGTATGTATATATGTATGTATGTATAAACGTATGTGGACACAAAATGTTGTTGACACAATTACTTTTGTAAATCGAAACAAATCGTTTTGCAATTTTGCATACACAAAGTTATTATCAAAATACAGGTTAAGTTCGTTAGCCAGCCATTTTCATCAAAAA